AGACGGATTAAGTTGTGCTTCTTTTATGAATTCCTTCGGAAATTGGCATAGTTGTCCGGAGATAGGGGCTAGCTCTGTCTATTGGACCCAACTGAGTAGGTTTTACCTGAAGACGGGGACAGATTCCAGTTCCCAAAACGTTCTGTTTTTAATAGAAACTAGACTGTTTTTTAGAATAGACAAGATGATGGATAATGTCCAGCAAAATAACATTGTAACAATTTACCATCATCACAAACTTTTAGATCTTAATTGTGGTAGTTGTTTGAAGTGGGTGTCACAGCAAACATTGACATCCCACAGTATAAATGAGAAACATGTTCTTTTGTAAATTGCTTTTCACACACAGATTTGTTATCGCTCAGCCAATTAATAGATGCAAGGAAACTAAGAATTACAAATATAAATCACTCCGTCCAATGTGACCTGTAAGTTTATTACTACATGAAAAACTTAACACCCTTACATGTTTCGGTCTCTGCGGACCATCTTCAGAGGGCAAACATCACTACAAATAGGAAACCACCTTCACATAAGTTGTTTAGACGTAAAGTACGTACACTTATATGTTACAATGCATAGTGCACAAAATAGAACATTTTACAAACACAGCAGTTTCCTGGGAATGTAAAGTTTTTAAAAAAAATTATTTAAAATTTCTTGATGCTAATTAATTTTTTTTTTGCATTGTCAACAATTTAAAATTCATAAACCATGCAGGCTCGTGTTCATCCTCCCATTATGTATGGGGCAGATATTGTGCCACCTGTCTATCTGTGTCTGTTCTTTATATCTAACTAAAAAATCTGTCAAACATGCAGCAAATCGCTTGCATATGCTGTGTATATGCACTCAAAGAGTACATATTATTTTTTACATATTTATTTACAGGTAATGTTGGCCATTGGTGGAGAAACATATAGAAGCTTCTGTTGTAGGACATGCGAATGCCTTACTTTGGGGTATTGTAGCTGGGAGTTCACTGTACCAGAAGCTCTGTATTTTACTGGTCCTCATCAGAAGAACCAGGACATTCCACCTATGAGTTATGGTCATATTTGTGCTGCAGTAACTGCCAGAGATTATGAAGTATTCGTTATTGGTGAGTACAAGTATGTTTGCTAGACTAGTCTTGTTATTGGTGGGAATGTATATTAGACTAAAATACTGAGTGTATTCTAGGCTAACATAGATCTCATTTCTTCTGAGGATACAAGGCCTTCTTGTATGATTTTTTGATACTTAGGTGTACAAAATTGTGGGTGGTTAAGAGAAAGTTCTCTTCATCGCAAGTCTCTACATATTTGTGTATATGTTGTGTCACTTGAAGGGCTCCATCCATTGGCAAACTACGAATGTTTATGTAACATGTTGTCTGCCTGTCTTCATCTTAAAGGGGAAGATGGAACATGTTGGATCTAGGTTCCATTATAATGTGCTGTTCTTATTTTGGCAGGAGTAATGGGTGTGTGGGATCAAGTGATTCCCTAAAGGTTTGTAATAGTGGTTGATTCATTATCTGAATGTTATGCTGAATGTTGTCTGTTGCTTGGAGTATATTTGATATGCATACCATTTTAGAAACTGAATCAGTTTCCATCATAAAGTATAAGGAGGGGTGGATCCTACTCAGAAACCAAGCAGAACATGCAATGGAAGCATCCGTCATCTCCTGTTACAAGGAAATTCAAGATGTGACCATCGGCAGGCAATTGATGTTGACCATTTTCTGGGATTCTCAAGAGCCTATTCTTGAGACCTACCTGGAACAAAAAACAGCTGTCACAAGTGCAGTGTATTGTGACATACTTCAGAGAAGGCTGAAGACTGCAGTCCACCCTAAAAGAAGTGGGAGACTGTCATAGGGCATCCTGTTGTTGCATGACAATGCCCATCCCCATACTGTGGTCTACATGTTGAAAACCCTCAGGAAATTGAAGTGGGAAGTCATGGAACATCCAGCTCACAGTCAGATTTGGTATCATCTGGTTTTCACCTTTGTGGACATCTTGAAGAAGCTCGAGAAGATTTCATTATGACGAGAACATGAAGAACATGGTGTATCAGTGGCTACATGCACAATGAAAGACTTTCTATTCTGATGGCATTAAGAATTTGGTAGGATACTAGGAAAAATATGTTGACAGCAGGATGATTATGTGGAAAAATGATGTAGTTTGTTTTTGTAATCATCAATAAAATAGAATTGTAAAATAAAAAGTACAGAAACTTTTTGAAGATCCCTTGTATGTACATGTTGATAAGCCTTGCTGTACTGCTAAAAATGTTAAAGGAAAGTAGTTATTGAAGAATGCCATCTTCTGGGATGTGGTGTCGTCTAAAGCTAGTGTAAACCGACGTTTCAGAGGAACGTATCACCTCCATCTTCAGGGTAAAAAATCCACGAGCAAGGAACAAGCAGTGCAGGTGGCTGGTCAGTTTACACTAGATTTACATGGCGCCACATCCCAGAAGACAGCATTCTTCATAGTCACCGCCATGAAAATCCCAAATCTTATGAAAGTAGATATTGTTGGTTATTCCCAGATTTAATGCATTAATTTTGGCTTTCAGATTTTAGCCTGCAGGCTACAGCATTTTATGCTGAAACTTTGGAATAGCTTCAGCATACACATGACACCCTAAAAGCTGAACTTGTTGTACATTAGACACAGGCTACAAAAGCATAAGGACAAGAATTATTCCTAGATTGTTGAAATAATATTCATCTTTAATTTCATCTGATGTAAAATCTATTGTGGCTGCAAAATAACAGCAACTCTGAATTTTCTGCGTAGAATTTAATAACAGTAAAAATTATTTTTTTTATGTGTCCTTTGTAAAAATTAATGAATTGTAGTGGTATTGTATCTGTCCACTTAAATGCAGTTTTTGTTGAGATTTATCATTTTCATTTGGAGCTTTTCCATTATAATGTATTGAATGATTTATGAGAAAAAACTTATGCCTCGACATAGGATTGTATGGCATCTGGTTATTGTATTTGCAACAGAGATTTATGTCTGCAATAAAGAGCTTTCGGTGGGGTAATGTGAATGTAAAATTGCAGAGAACATACATAGAAAATATGTATAATTCATTGCAGTAATTTTTGTATTTGAAAAAAAAAAATATTTTATTTTGTTGTTTAGGTGGGACAGGCCGTTCAACAGTTTTAGATGATGTCGAGTGTTATAGTATCAAGTCCAATACGTGGCGTGACCTGGAACCTCTTCCTATGGCTGTGCAGGGTGCTGGAGCAGCTTTCTTGGACCTGAAGCTTTATGTGGTGGGAGGCAGGGGCAGAATCGGCTATGAGAATAAAGTATGGGTATGTTTCTGCAGATCAGATATTTGGCGATGCAGTGTAATGTGCTGTCTGATGACTAAAAAGCATGCACATTCTATTTATGACTGAAATAAGCAGGATTGCTTGTTCTGTGCATGGGGTATGGTTAATTTTCTTATCAGTATCAAACTTTTTAGTGGCTAAGACTTGTAAGAACTGAATAATACTCGGATTAAGAAATTGCTGCATATTCTTCTCATTTAAAACGGTGAGAATTCAAATCACATGTAAAAACACTACCAATGTGCCAGCACATTGCTTTGGGATGCTGTGGCTGTTAATATATTGGTAAGAGAACAGTAAATTTTATAATATTGTAGTGTGTAGACCACGAAACAAACAGGTTCCCATGGCAACCAGCTCAGGCACAACATTAGAGGAACTATTGGAAATGGTGTTTCTATGCGGTCCAGGCCAAGGGGTTATATAACAAGAACACTAGCTGATAGTCAGTTGTAAGTCAGTCTGTGAAGAAAAGAGTACAAGGTTGGTGTGAGATGGCTGCTTGCCTGGGAGTTAGTCAATTGGAGCAAGAGTTCAGAGTCATGGAGTATTAGCTAGCGACTAACAAAATGAATGCTGAAGCTGAATAATCTCCTCTGTTACAGCCGTTACCAGGAAATGATGAATGGGGACTGTAACAGACTGAGAACACTAGTCTGTGTGCAGTAGTGATTTGTAAAGTGTGTAGTTCAGCAATAGCATTATAATTACATGTAGTTATGAGCCCTATTAAAGTGGTCAATAAATTGAGTCACCAATCCAATCCTCATATATAGTCACACTCATAAACATGACAGTATAGTTGGAGAACTATTGTAAAAATAGCACAAAAATGCTCAGTGGACTTGAGCTCTTGTTCCTCTGAGTTCTCAAGTCAGATGGTATAGTGGTAAAGGAGTAAATACATCTTGATGTCTTGTTTACTCAGTGCTTCCCACCTTGACCTAAACAAGTGTAGTGTACCAGCACAGAAATATTGGTGTGGAGTTTGTTACGTGCAAGCACAGTTGAATAATGAATGACTTAACTGTAGGCATAATGAAAATTGTATTCATTTTTGTACTTGGAAACTATGAGTACATGTCAGCAGTGCTACTGCCATGTCAGTTGCCCTTGAAATGTTTTGTGTCATTCTTAAGCAATGAACTGAGGACTTTGTGTTTCACTTTATGTAATGTTTATTTTCATGTATATTTCAGTGATAGTGAGATGATGCTTAGTCTGTGGCTCACAGGCTCACATAAGATTAGAGTCAGCACTGTCTGACAGTTTCTTACAAAATAAATGCATATATGAAGAATAGTGGTGGAATGATCTGTAGTGTGCTCTAATGGGGTAGCTTTGGCGAGTATAATATGCTATTAAAGTTTCCTACATTGGGATGATAAAGGTTAAAGCTTAGATTTCTGTAGATTCTTATTTAAATGCATCTTCCATATGTTATTTATAGGTAAAATATTGTTACTGTTTCGCCCATAAGGTTTATAAGGAACATAAAAATGAATGGCATGAAGCACCTCCATTGAATACATGCAGAGGATATCATGGCGTTGTGGCTGTTTGTGGAGCAGTTTATGCCATTGGTGGAGCTTGTAAGTAAAAGATTTAATGCAGTTTTCACAACATTTGTACAACTGTTCAGATTCCTGCCCTTTCAGACCCGTACAAGCTGACCATCCACACACTCTTCTTAGGCCCATAGCAGATGTTTACATACAGCTTTCTTACCATTACTGGCATACATATCTGACTGTTAGACAAGAAAGTTATAATCAGTCAGTTACTCCATCTGGTAGTGTGGGTGAAGTTTACTTCTGTAATGACTGCATCTGATAATGTCACTGGTTTTATGATTATGGTTTTAATGCTCTTGAATACATGCTTATACTTTGACTATGATTATACTGAACAAGTTATTGTCATTAAGATACATACTTTACCAATTATGGTGCACCATTGTATTTAAGATGTCTACAGTCCATACCTCACTAACAGATTCATCCACTGAAAGCATCTGTTCACATTACAAGATGCAAATTGACTAATATAGAGACTTTGTCTCTATGGTGTTCTGTTGTAATACTGTTACATGTACTGGAGACATCTGCAACCTGAACCTCAGATACTCACCAACTTAATCTTCCCACAGCATGATACCTAAACTCACACTGAACACTTTTCATATTAAATAGTTAAATTCAGTAATTACTTTAGATTGTCTCCAACAATTAGAATATTGGCAGTCTGATTTACATGAGGTGTTGGTCTGTTACACAGGCAAAATGAAGTAGGTGTTCATCTCTTATCACAGAATTAAGGACAGACTCTTACTTACTTACTCAGGGAGCTGAGCCCTTCTAGAGGAGCTGTCAATTCTGCAGCTACTCAAGAATTTCCCAGCATTTTATGGAACCCTAAGATTCATTACCATGTTCACAAGAGCCCTCCGCTGGTTCCTATCCTGAGGCAGATCAATCCAATCAATACCATCCCATCCTATATCTCTAAGATCCATTTTAATATTGCCTACCCACCTACGCCTTGGTCTTCGCAGTGGTCTCTTTCCTTCTGGATTTCCCACCAATATCCTATACGCATTCCTCGTATCCCCCAGTCTTGCTACATGCCCAGCCCACCTCATCCTCCTTGACTTGATCAGTAGTTCAATATGGATCAAAGACCAAAGCGGTTGACACCCAAGCGATTTCTTGGAGAACAAGAAATATCTGACTTCTTCTTTGATGAGCTATCTGACGTCCCTTGTGAGTCTGCTAGTGATAGCGACTCACAATCTGATAGTGAGTGTGGCAGGGGCGAACAAAAAATTGTGACCACAGACAGTGAAAGGGAAAGTGACCATAGCTCCGATGAATGTGCAGGTAGCAACATTGCCGGTACAGCCACATGGGGAAAAGTAGACAAAATGCCTGCTTTGGCAAAGTTTACTGGAAATCCAGGGGTGAAGCAAATTCCATCGGACCCAACGCAAGTGTCTGAAGTAGCGGAACTGTTTTTTGGAGATAGTTTCTTTGACATGCTATGTCAGGAAACTAACACATACTATCTCCAACACCGTGAACATTATGACAGAAGTTATAAGGTGTTGAAGTGGGTGGATGTCACTTCAGCAGAGATGAGAAATTTTTTTGCAATTATCTTTCTAATGGGCCATACAAGGAGGGATAATCTGAAAGAGTATTGGTCAACAGATCCATTTTTAGAAATTCAAATTTTCAGCAAACTAATGAGCCGTAAGAGATTTGAGCAAATTTGGTGGTGTTTGCATTTCAATGATAATGAACTGCAACCACAATCAACAAGCAGGCTTTTCAAAATTCAGCCCATTTTGAACTTTTTCGTTCAGAAATTTCAGACAGTTTATAAGCCAAATCAACAACTGTCTTTGGACGAATCTGTGATTCCTTGGAGGGGAAGGCTTCGTATGCGAACATATAATCCTGGGAAACTTACAAAGTATGGCCTACTTGTTCGTGTAGTTTCTGGAAGCACTTCAGGCTATATTGGAAATTTAGAGATTTATTCTGGTGAAGGAAAGAAATTACAAGAAACTATTCTTTCTGTTTTGGAACCCTATCTTGATCAAAATTACCATGTCTATCAAGACAATTATTATAACAGTGTGGCAACTGCAGAACACCTGTTTTCGAGAAAAGTACGTGTTTGTGGAACAATTAGGGTGAACAGAGGCCTTCCTCCAGATCTGAAAGAGGAATGTAAATCCCTGAAATGTGGTGACACCGCATTCAGGAGGAAGGGGGATATTCTTCTTCAGTCCTGGAAGGATAATCGTGTTGTGAATATGATTTCCACAATTCACAATTCGAGCATGATTGATGTTCAAAGGAGACATGGACAGGTAAAGAAGCCTGTTTGTATTTCCGAGTATGATATTTTCATGAAGGGAGTTGATAGAGCCGATCAGTACTTGGCCTATTATTCTCTTCCTTGGAAAACAGTAAAGTGGACAAAGAAAGTTGCCTTGTGGCTTATAAACTGTGCCATTTTGAATTCATTTTTGGTTTTAAAAAATCTAAACCCTCGTTCAGAATTGAAATACAAGGCATTTCTGCTGAATGTGGCAAAAGCCTGGGCTACAGACCACACGGTGGCAGCAGAACCGGCGGCAGACACAGTCTTAGTACGACCGGGGCCGTCTGCTCCCACCCCACGCAGGCCTCATTTTGACCCCCCTGGGCGACTCTCAGGTGATATGCGGAAACATACCCTTGCGAAAATTGTGAAGAGTGAACATTTCAAGGGGAAGCAGCCTTCTAGGCAATGCCATGTTTGTGCAATTAACAAGAAAAGGAGTAGGACTGCCTACATTTGCAAGTTTTGTGTAATGCCACTTACCAGAGGGGAATGTTTCGAGAAATATCACACCCTCAAGCACTTCTAGAAGCATTGGTAAGTGTTTTCAAAAAATTTTAGTTCATAAAATTAATTAGGAGATTTTATATTTCTTTTTAAATTGAACAGTGCACAAGTTAGGGTAGTAGGTATAAAAATGCCGGACCGCAGGGTGATTTAAATATTTAAATTGCCAGTCTGCAAAGTGTTAATGAAGTCAAGGAGAATGGGATAGCAAGGACATCCAACACACATGGGAGAACACAAGTGTGTACAAAATTTCGTTTTAAAAGCCTGAAAGGAAGACACCTCATGGAAGACCTAGGCATAGGTAGGAGTTAAGTATCAAAATAGCTTTGTTAAAAACAGGGTGCAAGGATGTTGACTGGAATGTTTTAGGGAGGAGGGTTATCAGGGTGGAGTCCAATGATGGGCTCTTCCGAACACATTTATGAATGTTCAGCTTTTATGAAAGGCAGGAATTTATTGAGTAGTTGAGTAAGAAGGACTTTGCTGCATGGTATAATTTTGTATTTATTTTCAGTGTGTAGTTTTAGGACCAAACAATTACAATACAATTTTCTAATAAACAAAGGTTTCAGCTTAATCTTAGACAGCTTCTGTTATAGGGTTTGTGTTCTTTATGGAATCTCTTTGTATTTAATTCTGTGTGTGTGCATATTGAGGCCTGTCACAGCTTAGCACTTGCTGTTCTTGTTCATGTTCTCGTTCTCAAAAAAGGCAAAAGTACCTCTGTTAGCAACTATAGGCCTATATCCCTACTGAGTAATTTTTCTAAAATATTTTAATTTATTGTTCATGACCGTGTTTCCCATTATCTAAAATCTAACATTAGCTCTTATCAACACGGCTTCTGTAAAACAAAATCCACCAGCACCAATTTGATAACTTACATTGATTTTATTTCCCCTATAGTCGGCTCTCAGAGACAAATTAATGCCATTTATTTTGACCTCAGCAATACATTCGACCTCGTCTCAAATTCTCTTCTTCTTCACAAGTTCAGTGCTACTCGGCTTTCTAGTGGCTATGTAAATTGGTTTTGCAGTTACCTATCCAACCAGAAATCTCGGGTCCGTATTTCTGGTGTTCTTTCCTCACCTTTTGAAGTTCTCTCTGGTGTTCCTCAGGGATCTGTCTTGGGACTCCTTCTCTTCAGTGTGCTTATTAACGACATATGTGATGCAATTGCCTGCTCTCATGTGTCTGCTTTTGGCTGACATCAAAATTTACTTAGCCATTCATTCTTCTCAGGACTGCTTTCTACTTTAGTCTTGACACTAGGTGGGGTAACTGCGACTTTCTTAGGTCACATGTTACAGGTAGTAATGACGCCATTCTCAATGAGGTTGGCCAAACTACGGCTGCCCTTGGTGGGGACGTATCGTGGACCAGGGATGCGTTGGGACACAGCTTTGGGATACCTCCTCATGGTCCCACTGGGCAACGACAGTCTCGGGGTCTGGATTATTATGACCTTCCGGGGCTGGCGGCTAAGTTCTCATAAAGGGCAATAACATTATGACCGGAGGCTCCCATGCGGCATAATGACTGTTGGGTATCACTACGGCGTACCCGGGACGAATGTGAGAGAGCACTCCTATGGGGGTATCTTCGGCTATTTGAGTTGTCTCCCTAAAAATACCAATAAGCTACCGCAAGCCTTCAGGCTCAACACTCTAAAATGGTTTGACCAACCCATGTGGAGGGGTGAGAATGGGGGAGCTCATAGGCCACCCCCAGGAGTGACTCTCTCATGCATGTGTTCCTTGTTGCAACCTCGTGACTAACTGGTATCGCACTCCCATTGATCATCTGGGATACCCCTCTCCCCCTGAATAGGCACTCTAGGCCCTGGAGGCTTGTGAGTATTCATTCACAACAGGACCAAACAACCTAAGCCAAGGTGTGAGGCATCGTGCTGAGGGCTGCTTGGCATGGGGCTGGTGATTAGCCAGTGTCATGAATGATCCCCTCGGGACACCAGGCAGCACCCCATTTTATTTATGCCTTCCACCCAGTGAAAGGTACCAAATAAAAAACCGGTTGTAAGGACCTTAAACTGAAGAGGGACCCCCTCCCAGGGGATCCCTATGAGAAATGCTTCATCAGGGGGCTGGAAGCTCTGGCAAACCACTAAGGGTCCCAGTTGCAACCAGCGAACCTGCTGTTGAACTTTCAGCTAAAGGCAGGGGCGAAC